CTACCGATCATATACATATTACTGGTGTCGAATAATTCGTTTCTGAATATTTACCATGTCCCAGTACAACAATTCCATATTTAAAATAATTAAGGATCGCTTTGGACGAGGTGCACTTATGATTGCAAGACAATACGAGAAGAAAACGTTTAAGTTATCTAAGTTCAAAAACCATTTAACTTTTGCGGTGAAGTCCTCGTGGCGGTTTACTTTTTGGTAGACATGTTTGAAACGTATTGTCTTGTGTTCTAATGCATTTAAAAAGCAGGCTGATGAAGGAGGCAGCAGCCCCCGAAAGCTACCGATCATATACATATTACTGGTGTCGAATAATTCGTTTCTGAATATTTACCATGTCCCAGTACAACAATTCCATATTTAAAATAATTAAGGATCGCTTTGGACGAGGTGCACTTATGATTGCAAGACAATACGAGAAGAAAACGTTTAAGTTATCTAAGTTCAAAAACCATTTAACTTTTGCGGTGAAGTCCTCGTGGCGGTTTACTTTTTGGTAGACATGTTTGAAACGTATTGTCTTGTGTTCTAATGCATTTAAAAAGCAGGCTGATGAAGGAGGCAGCAGCCCCCGAAAGCTACCGATCATATACATATTACTGGTGTCGAATAATTCGTTTCTGAATATTTACCATGTCCCAGTACAACAATTCCATATTTAAAATAATTAAGGATCGCTTTGGACGAGGTGCACTTATGATTGCAAGACAATACGAGAAGAAAACGTTTAAGTTATCTAAGTTCAAAAACCATTTAACTTTTGCGGTGAAGTCCTCGTGGCGGTTTACTTTTTGGTAGACATGTTTGAAACGTATTGTCTTGTGTTCTAATGCATTTAAAAAGCAGGCTGATGAAGGAGGCAGCAGCCCCCGAAAGCTACCGATCATATACATATTACTGGTGTCGAATAATTCGTTTCTGAATATTTACCATGTCCCAGTACAACAATTCCATATTTAAAATAATTAAGGATCGCTTTGGACGAGGTGCACTTATGATTGCAAGACAATACGAGAAGAAAACGTTTAAGTTATCTAAGTTCAAAAACCATTTAACTTTTGCGGTGAAGTCCTCGTGGCGGTTTACTTTTTGGTAGACATGTTTGAAACGTATTGTCTTGTGTTCTAATGCATTTAAAAAGCAGGCTGATGAAGGAGGCAGCAGCCCCCGAAAGCTACCGATCATATACATATTACTGGTGTCGAATAATTCGTTTCTGAATATTTACCATGTCCCAGTACAACAATTCCATATTTAAAATAATTAAGGATCGCTTTGGACGAGGTGCACTTATGATTGCAAGACAATACGAGAAGAAAACGTTTAAGTTATCTAAGTTCAAAAACCATTTAACTTTTGCGGTGAAGTCCTCGTGGCGGTTTACTTTTTGGTAGACATGTTTGAAACGTATTGTCTTGTGTTCTAATGCATTTAAAAAGCAGGCTGATGAAGGAGGCAGCAGCCCCCGAAAGCTACCGATCATATACATATTACTGGTGTCGAATAATTCGTTTCTGAATATTTACCATGTCCCAGTACAACAATTCCATATTTAAAATAATTAAGGATCGCTTTGGACGAGGTGCACTTATGATTGCAAGACAATACGAGAAGAAAACGTTTAAGTTATCTAAGTTCAAAAACCATTTAACTTTTGCGGTGAAGTCCTCGTGGCGGTTTACTTTTTGGTAGACATGTTTGAAACGTATTGTCTTGTGTTCTAATGCATTTAAAAAGCAGGCTGATGAAGGAGGCAGCAGCCCCCGAAAGCTACCGATCATACACATATTACTGGTGTCGAATAATTCGTTTCTGAATATTTACCATGTCCCAGTACAACAATTCCATATTTAAAATAATTAAGGATCGCTTTGGACGAGGTGCACTTATGATTGCAAGACAATACGAGAAGAAAACGTTTAAGTTATCTAAGTTCAAAAACCATTTAACTTTTGCGGTGAAGTCCTCGTGGCGGTTTACTTTTTGGTAGACATGTTTGAAACGTATTGTCTTGTGTTCTAATGCATTTAAAAAGCAGGCTGATGAAGGAGGCAGCAGCCCCCGAAAGCTACCGATCATATACATATTACTGGTGTCGAATAATTCGTTTCTGAATATTTACCATGTCCCAGTACAACAATTCCATATTTAAAATAATTAAGGATCGCTTTGGACGAGGTGCACTTATGATTGCAAGACAATACGAGAAGAAAACGTTTAAGTTATCTAAGTTCAAAAACCATTTAACTTTTGCGGTGAAGTCCTCGTGGCGGTTTACTTTTTGGTAGACATGTTTGAAACGTATTGTCTTGTGTTCTAATGCATTTAAAAAGCAGGCTGATGAAGGAGGCAGCAGCCCCCGAAAGCTACCGATCATATACATATTACTGGTGTCGAATAATTCGTTTCTGAATATTTACCATGTCCCAGTACAACAATTCCATATTTAAAATAATTAAGGATCGCTTTGGACGAGGTGCACTTATGATTGCAAGACAATACGAGAAGAAAACGTTTAAGTTATCTAAGTTCAAAAACCATTTAACTTTTGCGGTGAAGTCCTCGTGGCGGTTTACTTTTTGGTAGACATGTTTGAAACGTATTGTCTTGTGTTCTAATGCATTTAAAAAGCAGGCTGATGAAGGAGGCAGCAGCCCCCGAAAGCTACCGATCATATACATATTACTGGTGTCGAATAATTCGTTTCTGAATATTTACCATGTCCCAGTACAACAATTCCATATTTAAAATAATTAAGGATCGCTTTGGACGAGGTGCACTTATGATTGCAAGACAATACGAGAAGAAAACGTTTAAGTTATCTAAGTTCAAAAACCATTTAACTTTTGCGGTGAAGTCCTCGTGGCGGTTTACTTTTTGGTAGACATGTTTGAAACGTATTGTCTTGTGTTCTAATGCATTTAAAAAGCAGGCTGATGAAGGAGGCAGCAGCCCCCGAAAGCTACCGATCATATACATATTACTGGTGTCGAATAATTCGTTTCTGAATATTTACCATGTCCCAGTACAACAATTCCATATTTAAAATAATTAAGGATCGCTTTGGACGAGGTGCACTTATGATTGCAAGACAATACGAGAAGAAAACGTTTAAGTTATCTAAGTTCAAAAACCATTTAACTTTTGCGGTGAAGTCCTCGTGGCGGTTTACTTTTTGGTAGACATGTTTGAAACGTATTGTCTTGTGTTCTAATGCATTTAAAAAGCAGGCTGATGAAGGAGGCAGCAGCCCCCGAAAGCTACCGATCATATACATATTACTGGTGTCGAATAATTCGTTTCTGAATATTTACCATGTCCCAGTACAACAATTCCATATTTAAAATAATTAAGGATCGCTTTGGACGAGGTGCACTTATGATTGCAAGACAATACGAGAAGAAAACGTTTAAGTTATCTAAGTTCAAAAACCATTTAACTTTTGCGGTGAAGTCCTCGTGGCGGTTTACTTTTTGGTAGACATGTTTGAAACGTATTGTCTTGTGTTCTAATGCATTTAAAAAGCAGGCTGATGAAGGAGGCAGCAGCCCCCGAAAGCTACCGATCATATACATATTACTGGTGTCGAATAATTCGTTTCTGAATATTTACCATGTCCCAGTACAACAATTCCATATTTAAAAAAATTACTGAAGGCTCACCTAACAGTACGTATGTATGATAAATGACCTTCAATGGTGCCTTCTGGTCAACCAGAGTAGACATGGGTCCATAACCGACCACGTCAGTTCCTGTTATGGTCGGCGCCGTTCGTAGCAGCGCTCAAGACCCTGCCTGGTACAACCCCATTCATGTTCGCCGATGACACCTCGACGCTCTGCGCCGGCAACTCCATCGCCGTGACCCGGGACCGGGCGCAGCTGGCGGCCAACACGCTCGTGAAGTGGGCCCGCCGGAGTAAGATGGAGGTCGCGGGTCAGAAGACGCAGCTGCTCGTCCTCTCCCAGAACCCCCGAGACGCCATCGACTCACATCCACGTGGCGGGTCAACTGGTGGAAGGGGGACCTGAGCTGAAACTTCTGGGAGTGACGCTGGACAGAACGCTGAGCTTCGGCCCGCACTGCAGAAGTCTCCGTCGGCGCGTCCGGCCCCGAGCGGCCCAACTCTTTGTTTTGTTTTGTTTTGTTTTGTTTTGTTTTGTTTTGTTGGGTTAGGCCCTTTCGGTCGACAAGACCATTGCAGAGCCGGAAGGACGATAGGAATTAGGGGGAGACATTGGTCTGGGCAGGCACCCTAGTGAGTCGCCGGGGCTGAGCCCGTCCAGATGACAGGCCACCCAGCCCCAAGGCACTCACTGCACCCGGCTACGGGGTGCGCTCCCTCAGGAGCGGCGGTGCCGCTCCAAGGGAGCAGCCCGCATGAGATAAAGTTGCCTGTCCAACCCGGAATGGGGTTGTGGCGTGGAGGAGAAGGATTTCAGTTTCCTGAGGATAGAAGCACGGATAGGCCCAACTCCGACGTCTCACCGGCCGCAGCTGGGGGCTGCAAGAACAGCAGCTGCGCGCCGTCGCAAACGGCTACGTGCGCGGTGCGATAGAGCACGCGGCTGCTGCCTGGCTGCCGGCAGTGTCCAAGTCCAACATCGAGATCCTGGAGCGAGAGATGCGCGCCGCGGCGAGGATCGTCACAGGCTGCATCCACTCCGCACCACACCACGGTGTGATGGCCGAGGCTGGCATGCTGCCCGTCGCGGCACGACGTACTGCGCTAACGGCGCGTATGTTCGCGAAGGCTGCCGCGCTCCCGCCAGAGGACCCCCTCCGAGCGGTCGCCATGGCTGACCCCCCTCAGCGCCTCAAGCTGGTCACGGGGTGGCGCCAAGTAGGCCGGGAGGCCCTGCGCGAGCTACGGGTCGAGCTGCCGGTTGAGGCCCTGCTACCAGAGCGACCGCCACCGTGGACGCCCACCGGCAAGATCACCTTCAACCTGAGCATTGGCGCGCTGCCCGCCGGTGCGGCGAGGTCCACGAAGAGAGACGCAGCGCTCCACCACCTGGCGTCCATGACGCAGTGCGCGACGTGGGCGTGGACCGACGGCTCGTCGAGCGGCGGAATTCTCCGCGGTGGGGCTGGCGTCCTCATCGTCGGAGCTGATGACAGCCGCACCGAGCTCCGTGTCCCAGCGGGCACACTCTGCTCCAGCTTTCGAGCGGAGATGGTCGCCCTGCAGGTGACGCTGGACCACATCCTGGAACACCAGCGGGACGCACCAGAACCGGTCATCATATGCACCGACTCGCTGTCGGCGTTAGCGGCGCTGAGAGAGGGTCCGTCGGCACAGCGCTCGGCCAGAGGCGCTGCCATATGGAAGCAGCTGCTGGAGCTCACCGCCGGAGACCGAACGGTCACCCTCCAGTGGGTTCCATCCCACTGCGAGATCCCGGGGAACGAGTCCGCCGACGCCCTGGCAAACGAGGCTGCGACGCTGGCACAAGAAGACGTCATGCTCGATGTAGACACCATCTACCGAGCGGCAGTCCGCACCGCCAGAGACCGCGCCGCAAGGGACAGGCCGACATACCCGGACCCCGACCGCAAAGCCGCAACCGGGTGGTACAGAGAGCTCATGGGTGCAAGATGGCCATCACCTCTCACCAACATGGACAGGACGACAGCAGTAGACGTCCACCAGATCCGCACTGGGCGCTGGAGCGGCTCTGCGCAGTTTCTCCATTCTATCGGACGAAACCCATCTGCGGACTGCCCACAGTGCAGGAACCTCGACTGCCCTGCAGCTCGTTGCCCGCTGTGCGGCGAGCAAGCCGACACACCTCGACACATCCTGCTGACCTGCCCGGGACTGATGGGGGTTCGCCTCAGAATCCCGGCGGTCGGCAACATACTGCCGACGGTGGAGGAGGTCAGGCGCGGCGACACGGTGGCGGCCCTGGTGGCCGCCTTCAGGGCCCTCCAGAGCTGAGAAGCTACACCGCGGCTCTGCCGCGGATGGAGGGGATAACAACAACAACAACCACGTCAGTGACTGATGAAACACATTTTATGCACATATTCACAGAGGTAAGTAATATCGTCACAAACTGGAAGGTCACATTGAGCTACGATGTGTAAATATTGCTTGCTGCTAAAAGTATCATGAACCCATGGCCGATTCACCGGTGTTTCTTAGTGGAGGTAAGCTATGGTATTTCCGAGCATGATAAATAATGTAAATAGAGTGAACTAGGGTTACCCTCGTGCTCCGCAACGCGAAGAAGGGTTATTTTTAGTTGACCCGTGGGTATTGGGTTGGTCTGTGTCGATTTGGTTGGCATCCATTTCGTTCGATTGCTTTTTGACAGCCAAGCATTTTGTAATAAAACAAAAAAGATACATCGCATCGAGGTGCCCGTGTCGTATTATCATGCGTTCTTCTATAGAATGATTCGGAAACTGGCGTGAAGTCTTTTGAGGCCATCGATGAATTTCGCTAAAAATGGCAATGTAATGGTTTGGAACATTTACATTTCTAAGAATACTGTTGCTCATCATGCAAAAAAGAAGAGTGAATATTGGACAGAATTGAATGCTCTATCCAATGGTACCATATTCAATTGCCAAAGGTATCAGGTTATGCAGCAAAACCCGTGTAATTGATAAAGTGGCACATGATTGACAAACACCATTTTCTCCCGTGATTTGCACCACCTTGATTTGGATCAATCAGCTTTTCACAATTTTTCTATGAGAGGCGATACATTTCTCTTGCAAATAGGCGTTGTTTCAACTCGCTCCACTTAACGGTCACTTAAAAATAGAATTAATTCCAAAATCCGTCAAAAACCGCAATTTTTCCAATAAAAGCATCCTCACAGGTGCACGTGGCACGTGCCATCCTCTGTATCGTACACCATTCGACAGCCCGCTCAATTATCTACACGATGCTGTTTTCCCCGTGCCGGTCGGACCCCTGGTCACCAAAATATGGCACCGGGACCGGACCCGTGTCGGCCAAAATTAGCCGTTTTCGCCCGATTTCGCACGCTGATTTATACATGTAAAGTCTATGACGCGAATTTGCACTTTTTGAGCACGCGCCACGCGCTCCCTATCGACCCGATCGAGCCCAGACACCTCAAAGGCACGTCGCGCATCCTTGATCTATAAGTTGTGCAAGTTTCACCGCGCTACTATGCATTTCAGACCCCATGCGACCCTGTTTTTCGGCGATAATTTGTTTAATATTTATCCCATTGGCTTCAAATTTTCGCACAGCACATTTCAACTCAAGCGCCAATTTTCGCTAATAGGGTCTCTTAACATGATATCAATTGTTAGGGTACTTGTCGTTGCCTCGTAATGTTAAAATCGGCTCCGTAAATCCGTCAGTGGAGTAGATGCTATCCGTACGTAGGCGTGACGTGACAGGCACGTGACCATTAAGCTCCGCCCTCCCGGCGGACGGAGCGGTGACCTTGGCCGGTCGCGTATTCGCCAATTGTATTACACGAATCGGCCCATCAACTAGCGACATCTCTAGTGCGACGTCATAGCCATCCGCCGCGACAATGCATGCATTGAGGCTAGATTTGAGTTGAGACTTTTTTGAAATTGTATATGGCTATCAAACATGTATGTGTCACAGTAGCCGAGTGGTTAGAGTCTCGGTGTGGTGGACGAAAGGTCGGCGGATCGATTCTTGCTTTAGCGGTCTTTTCTCTTAAAAAGAAGTCGGTCGTAGACGCGCATTTTTGGCCCCTACGTTCGCACGCCAATATCGTACGCCCAATAAATCTCTGACAAGTATTCATCTGATTAAGGAATAAGTTGCAAAAGAACTGCAGTTGCAGTCTATACCTGAACTACCAATTTTGTTACGGCACTGTCGATATTCGTCAAAGTCGGAAGAGCTATTATGAAACACACTCGAATGACAACGGATTCCTGTATTATTTCATCGATCAGATAAGACATGTATAGAGATAAATTGATAACAAGACATGTATAGAGATAAATTGATAACAGCCCGCCGTGAGCATGCAACTTAACAGCCAGTCCCAAGTTATCTTCATAAAGGTCTAATATAGATCTTTTGACTTTAACTAGATTCCAACTAAGGGGACTTAGGTATCCCCCTGGCGGCTGAAATGTAAGAGTTATAGTTAGGGCATAGCTCCTATAGATGACGCTCTGACGGCTGGAAACTGATAATCTCGTCCCGTGATTACGCTAACAGCTATGCCGAACTTTTTTGTGCATGGTGATTCTTACACGAAAAGCTATGCTTACCAGCGTGCGATTTTTACTTTTCATCTTAGTTTTCGCTACTTTTAGGTACTTTACCTTGCCAAGTGCCCACCTACTTTCAAAAGGTCAGCGCCGCCCCTGTCAATGCTGCGTGCTATCACCCATTAGCAGCGAGAAATATTGATCAATGAATGGCCATTGCCCAGCACCATTTGTCTTTCCATTGGCTACATTCGCATAGTATGCAGTATGCACCATGCATTAGTGATGCCAATCACAGAAAATCAGAACACCGCTACCAAACCAAATACAAACAAAGACCATTGGAAAATACCGAAACCGAACCAATCGGTTGGACTGCAAATATCTATCTTATGCAGCATATTCATTAGAAGAATGCCTACGTCTGATTTCTTAGGTGCACGCCGTTGCAAATGTATAAAAAACGCACAATGACAGATGACACGAAAATCGAAGTCGCCGAGTGGATTCGAACCACCTACCTCTGGATGACCAGTCCGATACTCTAACCACTTCGCCACGGCGCCAACATGTTTCAAATTGCTTTAATGTCATTAAGTTAAAACCTAGCTTCAATAGACGCCACCAAGGGCGAGGACCGAAAGTATGACGCCACGCTGACGTCACTCAGGAGGCACGCTATTGGTCGGCCGATTCGTGTAATACAATTGGCGAATACGCTGGCCGGTCAGTCGGATGCGTCGTTAGGCGGCACTGGTGGACATCGATAGCAGCGCCTCTAGCGGTCACTACTGAAAGCTGGGCTGTAGGCGATGAAATACCGTCTGAGTTGTCACACGTTGAATAGGATTATAGACATCTGTCTTGTGAAAAAGTTAAACTTTTGCCTTCAATATTTCTACAGGCAATTTTAGGAGTGATCTTCACATCTTGCAAAACCGTTTAGATTATTGTATTCACTTCAATTTGTATTTGTATTTGTATTTGACAATTAAAACACTCTCCACAGTAAAATGGCTATTCCGAGTGTCGCGTCACGGTTAAAAGAAAAAACAAGTTAAGATACACTCATCAATCACATCAAACAGAACACAATTCAAATCACACATTCATCTTTCTTTCTTTCTTTCGAAGCCATTGGTCCCATCCTGCTCCATGTTGTCAATACCTGTCTTTCCACGTGTGACTATCCCGATGCTTGGAAGCACTCCCTAGTCCATCCTATCTTTAAGTCCGGTGATCCTGATCTGGTCTCCAACTACCGTCCTATTTCGATCGTCCCCACCATAGCCAAAGTTGTCGAGCGCTTAGTGCACCGACAACTTTCCGCCTACATGTCTAACAACCACCTTCTCTCTTCATCCCAGCACGGTTTTCGTCCTCTTCACTCTACCGAAACCGCTCTGCTCTCTGTAACTAATCGCGCTTTTTCCAACATGGACCGTGGCCTTATCTCCCTCCTCTGCCTTCTGGATCTTAGTAAATGTTTTGATGTCATTCCTCACTCACTGCTAGCTTCCAAGCTCCAGCTCTATGGCATCCACCCGACCTGGTTTTCCTCCTACCTCACCGGTCACACTCAGTCTGTCTGTATCTCTTCTCTTTCCGGTGACAGAGTGGTTTCGAAGCCCCTTCCTAACACCATGGGAGTCTTCCAAGGATCAGCCCTCGGTCCTCTGTTATTCACCATTTTTGCCAACGACCTCAGTCTGCACGCGCCGGACGCTCATGTGACCCAGTACGCTGACGATACCCAAATCCTTATTTCCGATACCAAGCGCAATCTTCCTTACCTCATCCAACGCATGGAGTCTACCCTCACCTCCTTGGCATCGTGGTTCCATGCCCACGGACTTAAACTCAACACGTCCAAAACGGAAATCCTCCTCCTTGGCACCCGACAGAATACCAGAGATCTTCCCCCTGTCAGCGTGCGGGTCGGTGGCGGGACCGTTCGGGAGAGCCAATATGTTAAAAACCTTGGTGTCATTTTCGACCGCCACCTTACGTGGGATGCTCATGTCAGTGACGTGGTACGTAAGTGTGTCCGCCTCCTGATCGGTCTCCGCCACCTGAGGCGCCTCCTCCCGCGGCGGGCGCTTCTTGCGGTCGTGCAGGGCCTGGTCGTCTCGCGCGTGAGATATTGTCTATCTGTGTACGGGAACGGCTCCGCGGCTAACAACGAGAGGCTACTGAAAGTTGTGAACTTTGCCACCAGAGTAGCAGCCGGTCTCCGAAAGTACGATCGTGTGTCTCGCGCGCGGGACGACCTGGGCCTGCACACACCGCGCCAGATGTGTGATGCGCAGACCGCTATCATTGCGCATAGAATCCGTGCCCTGGGCGAGCCCGAGGAGCTCGCCTCACTGTTTGTGACTTTCGCCGACGCACAGCAGTGTAACCGCCCCACTAGACAAGACCGTGACTTGCGCCCGCCAGCTACAAGAACAGTGGTCGGGCGGCGAGGGTTTGCATACCGAGCAGCCTCGCTTTTAAACTCTATGCCTAGTGAAGTGACACGGCTCGAGCCAGCGGCTTTTAAACCGGCAGCGAAACGTTTCTTTTATTTGGAGTGATTGTGCGTGTGTTAGTGTTGTGTGTGCTGTTGTTTCAGCGGATGATTGTTGTGTGCCGTGTCCCATTTGACTTCCCCAACCGTTTTATTCACTGACAATTGACACGTAATAGCCACCGTGTTGTGGAGTGTCTGCTGACGTAAATATATCATCCTTAAACACGCAGATACAACTCGGA